AAATAGGGGTCCTAAGTAGCAAATTAATAGTCCACAACCCAAGCCGAACACATTGCCGTAAGTGAGGCTGCCTTATGAATGAAGGTGTTAAGTATAACTTTTCAGCTTTTCCTACGAGTCTCCAAAGTTTAGGGCATAACTGGAAAATGGTCTGGGTTCARTGTTTTAAACAAATACACACTACACGTTCTTCGAGTCTAACCCTTGCAACTGAGACAAACTAACCTAACTTACTCAGCAACACATTAGTGTCAGTTTTGACAGGATAAAATTCCTTCAGTCTATTTAATGGTTGAGAACATTGTAAACTAACACGAGTCTCATAAGTGTCCAGTTTAAAGGTAATTACACAGAAATACACCAAATATAACATGAATCATTATATACTTTTATTCTTTTACAATAAATGAATATGTGTATCAATCTAATTGGATCTAAGGGCATACACTGTCTAACAACAAATATACAAATTTTAGAGAAAGGCTTAGTTATTGTAACAAATTGTTGGAGCTTCTTCCTCATGAAGCCTTTATCTATTTGTCTTTTTGACTAAACATATTGGTTAAATTAACTCTTTTACCCCGCATCGTAACCTCTCATGTACAAACAAAGAAACAGAACGTAATAGCAAGTAGTAGGAAAAAGTCATGATCAACAAATGAATGCGGAATTGAAACAGATGCAAATTTTGCATCTGATTCACATTTACACACAAACAGAGCCTACCAGCAAAGTAGCAATTAGGTCTGTATGTGTGAAGTAAACTTTGGTCGGCCACATTGTTTGGTATTCCTAACTCCAATAAAGATTTCGAGTAATGGGTAAGTCGGCACTGAGATCTATTCTGGGCCCAAAGTAGAATTTGAGCCTATTCTGTACAATTAAGGTTCAAAATATCGATACGTCCTATATGCCAGTAGAGGCATATCGGATGATATCGATAACGTTTTTCTTTTTGTTTTTTTATTTTTTTCAAAATCAGATCAATGGGCTAGTTTAGGACTCCTCCACTCCCTGTATCAGTCAGAACTCCAATACACCCCCTGTAGGAACGTATCAAAAAGCCACCGGTATGATACGTATCGATCAATATGGATCGAGACATATATACTTTGAACGTTAGTTGTGAGACGTTGTGGGGCGCCCCTGGGGCTGATGTGAACTCGGCCTAGTGAAGCTCCAAACTATGCTACGAGGCCGGATTTTCTGCAGTCKGATAGGTATGTGCAGGGGTGTACTTCCAATCAAAATCAAACACATCATAGTTCACATGTGGAACCCCTGTCGCATGTATAGAAAACTAAACGGTACGTTTTTACATACAATTTTTTAAACTAAAATTTTTTGAAGAAAACCCTACAAATGCCATTAACGATTGCAGGAAATTCTTTCGTTTTTAAGCTTCGACAAGGGATAAAACCATTTACAATAAATTAATTTTTTAAATATATAAGTAGAGCTTGAAAAGTCTACCGATATTCTATGATTTATAATTTGCAAGCAACCCATTTTCAGTGATCAATTCTGGAACCTTGAATTTTTGTCTAGCTTAATGATCCAAAGTAGATTTCTGCTGATCTGAGATTGGGATTTGTCTAGGAAAGATTCGTTAAGTTAGAATGAGGTCGGTCACAAAACTAATGTTCCCAATATTCTGTATCTTGTTGGATTTGAGAACTAGAGGCGAGGAATGTGAGAGTGGGGAGGGGAAAACAAAAATGAGAGGGTCTGCATTAATGGCACGCAAAGAAGAAATGAAGAAACAAAATAATTTCTTCCGGCTGCTCCCTGCAGGACTGTCTACCAGTAACGACGGGCTCGATGAACCCGCAAGGGACGAATCAGAGAACCCGAGGTTGTTTATCCGGTGGGTTTCTTCGATGCTTAAGTTAGCACTTGGTTGCGAGCTGAGAATGATATTAGATTGTGAGAAAGCTGGAGAGTAGAGATTACGCATCTCTTATTTTTCTTTTTTCACCCCCGGGGGGTGAAGCCTTTATATACTGGAGTCCTTGCGGGTTCGATGGAGTAGTTCCGGAATTCTCGCTGCGACAGGATCCATTTCCGTGTTAGTTGGGGATAATGTTACCAACCGGTAAGGCTGACCTTTTCCGCCTGAATCGGGGAGTGGGGAGATAATATTAGCCGTTACAAGGTATGATCCCGTAAGACGCAGGGTACGGTGACGAGATCCCTGGGGTTGCCATGCGGTGGTCGGTCAGCATTGCCTGAGCTCGTGCTCTTTAGATCCGACTTGATATGAATGCCAAAGTGCCTTGGGACCAAGGTGGTCCTGATGTAACCTTGCACCGAGGTATACTCGTCCCGAGGTAGAATTGTCCAAGTTGGACTTGTCTCGAGGTGGTCTTGTTCCGAGGTGGTCTGGTTATCCGAGCTCGATCCGTTGCGGACTTAGCGTGTCAGGCTGAGTTGTTATCCTACTAGTTAAGTTGCCAGGTCGGCGCCTGTGCTAGGTCGCTAGTTCGGCACCTGTGCCAGGTCGCCAGTTCGGCACCTGTGCCAGGTCGCTAGGTCAGCGCATGTAACAAGTCGCCAGGTCGGTGCCTATTCCAAGCCGCCAGGTCAGCGCCTGTGCCAGGTCGCTAGGTCGGCGCATGTGCCAGGTCGCCAGTTCGGGACACCATCATCTTGTTTAAGTTGTTGCCTAAGTGGTTCGGGGTGTCACCCAGTTGTTCTGAGACACCACGTGTCACGATATCATTGGAGGGTCAAATCTGCCCTCACCATTTGCCCCCCCACTCCTGAGCTGAAAATAACTCGATGAAGGGAGTAGATTGCTCCTTTTGGCTTGAAATGACTAATTCGATGAGCTCATAAGCGTCGATTCAATTCCTTCGGCTCTGGAAGCGACTCGCAGTTCGCTCCTTGATTTTGCCCATGCTAAAGAGGCGACTGGGTCTTATGCGGTGAGGAGGTCCTCGCTAGTTCGGTATTTTGGCCCTTAGGCTCTAGGAGCGACTCGTAGTCTACTCTCTTTGATCTTGCCCATGCCGAAGAGGCTGGGTCTTATGTGGTGCCGAAGTCTTTGCCAGTTCGACACTTTAGCCCTTAGGCTCTGGGAGTGACTCGTAGTCCACTCTCCTTGATCTATTTGGCCCATGCTGAAGAGGCGATTGGGTCTTATGTGGTGCCGAAGTCTTTGCTAGTTCGGCACTTTAGCTCTTAAGTTAGCACTTGGTTGCGAGCTGAGAATGATATTAGATTGTGAGAGAGCTAGAGAGCAGAGATTACGCGTCTCTTTTTTTTTTTTTTTCTTTTTTCACCCCGGGGGGTGAAGCCTTTATATACTGGAGTCCTTGCGGGTTCGGTGGAGTAGTTCCAGAATTCTCGCTGCGATAGGATCTGTTTCCGTGTTAGTTGGGGATAATGCTACCAACCGGTAAGGCTAACCATTTCCGCCTGAATCGGGGAGTGGGGCGATAGTATTAGTCATTACAAGGTATGATCCCGTAAGACGCGGAGTACAGTGACGAGATCCCCAGGGTTGCCATGCGGTGGTCGATTAGCATTGCCTGAGCTCGTGCTCTTTAGATCCGACCTGATATGAATGCCGAAGTGCCTTGGGACCGAGGTGGTCCTGTTCCATGGTGGTCTGGTTATCCGAGCTCGACCTGTTGCGCACTTGACGTGTCAGGCTATGTTGTTATCCTACTAATTAAGTTGCCAGTTCGGCTCCTGTGCCAGGTCGCCAGGTTGGCGCATGTGCAAGGTCAGCGCATGTGCCAAGTAGGCAGGTCAGCGCCTGTGCCTGGTCGCCAATTCGGGACACCATCATCTTGGCTAAGTTGTTGCCTAAGTGATTCCGGATATCATCCAATTATTTTGAGAGGCCAAGTGTCACTATATCATTGGAGGGCCAAATCCGCCCTATCAATGTCTTTCCGGTGAGATTCATCCTTTTGAATTGGGTTTTTGCCAACTTTTCCTTCTTTTTTTTTGTTTCAAAAATTATATTATGAAAAACTAGCGGAAAAAAATTACCTTTTAATTTTCTCCGCACATTGGAAGTGCACACACCCATGAAATCCGATCTCCTACGCTACAGCCATGATTCGCCGCATTGAATCCTGTCGTAAAGGGACCCACTTGTTGCCCTTACATTCCCTGTACGTTGATATAAACACTTGTCGTCATCATGATTAATCAACTGCCACGTATCTTAGCATCTCAGTTGCAATTTGCAGACGCATGGCTCAAACGTGGCCATTAACCCCTTTCCCTCTCCGATCTATTTCTTTCTTCCTCTGGCTCTTTCGTCCACGTTTCTCTTCGCAGTTCGCTCTACTACAAAGCGACAACGGCGAGAGAGAGAGAGAGAGAGAGAGCAGTAGGACGAAGACCGGAGAAAAATGGCGGAAGCACAGAAGATGAGACAGGAGGACGTGAAGGCTGCCGGGGCGGAGGCGTCTAAAAGGCCGTTCGGTCTGCAAGCAGAAGGCGTGGGCTCACCCACGGCGCGCTTTACCCTTCTCTCCGACGACCATGGCTGCCGGGGGATTGGTTTTAGTGGCTGCCGTCACTTACTTCACCTTGTATGCTAAAAAGAAGCCTGAAGCCTCCGCCGTCGATGTGGCCAAGGTCGCCGCCGGGAAGGTCGACCCTGCCACCACTCAACAACGGAGATAGCTTCCGGTCCGGTTCATTCGATCAAATAAATCTTTTCTTTTCCTTTCTGTTTTTTTTTTTTTTTTTTCTTCTAGTGACATGGGCCGTAGTTGGGCTACCAAGCAACCCAAACCCAAATTAGGAATTGGGACGTAGCAAGCAAATTATTGAAATATCGTAATGTTTGAATTTCAGCCCAAGATCAAATCTACTGACTATTAAGCGGTGGGGCGGGCCCGACCCACCAAGCGTACGACGGCTGACAAGTTTACGGACTGTCCCCTTGCCAGCTTATATGCGCTGCATATCAGCGCACTGTACAAGACAACGGCGAACAGACAGAAGTCCGTCTTTGCTCGGAAGCTCCTCAAACAGAAAAAATTGGGGAAGAACTGAAACTAATAATGTGTAAAAGCGTTACAATTTAATGTTGCATTACATCAATTCGAATCAATAACAACAATAACATCAAAATGAAGTTAAACCAGCTGGACCCAGCTAGATTCAGACCCAGATGGAGGCAAGCGAAACCAGAAGAGCCCCCAGAATCGACAATCCCGGCCGGAAGACATCTTGGCTGGAGCTGTCATGGGATGATGAATGGTTAGAAGAAACGGCAGCTGTCGGCGACGACGGGAGAGGATGAACGAGGACGGAGACCTTCATGCCGTTATAGCAACCGTTGGGGCAGATGAAGTAATAACGTTTCGCCTTGTCAAGCGGGATGAAGTCCTTGCCGCTGCTCCAGTTCCCGACAGCTCCGTAAGTGGTGCAGTTGTCGTAATCCGTCTGGTTCACTTCGAACACATTGTACTGGTTCTTCTGGTACCTAAAAGCTGTTGTGATATAAAAGAAGAGAACCAGAATGTGAGATCTGAAGGTGGGGTTTTATCAGGGATTGCGAGGGGGGGGGGAGGCACTTACAGATGAGGTCGCCGACGTAGAAGGTGTGGTTGTTGGCCCAGAGTGTATAGTTGAATCCAGGGTTCCAGCCGCGGTTGGCTCCGACGATGTGGTCGGTTCCGCTGACGAGGGTGGTGACGGTAGCGCCGACGCATACGAGTAAGAGGAGGCGGAGGAATGGGAGACGGAGAGCTGAAATCGGCATATTCGCTTCTCTCTTACCTTTTTGGGAAAACGGAGTCTCTGCCAGACCTTCTTCGGTTGTTTATTGAAGCTTGCACAGATGACAGAACACTACTACGAATCCTCTACGGTTCCTGTAAGATATAGGACCAATCATTGCATGGCACGTCACGTACACATGGTTCGCACGTTTGACAACTGACGTGTTTGAGGTTGAGAGTAGGTCCGTGGACGTTATTTTTCTTTTTAACGTGTGAAAACTAATTGTCATTTATAATGGGGTAGAAAAAATTTTTGTGGTTGATCGTCTGGACAGGGGTGCAACTTGGGCGGGCTTAGTCCGAACCTGAATCAACGGTTTATTAGCTTCGAACCGGGTTTGAGTTATTCATTGACCAACCCGAGCCGGGTTTGAGTGATCAAATTCTGGGCTTGGATTGGCTCGGTTAGGGTTTGGGCCTGGGTTGACTATAAACCCGACCCAACCCGTCTGGCTTGCACCCTTAGTTTTCACAAATTCATGTTCATATTGTTCTTACAGGGGCCCAACCAGACGGCCCAACCCGTCTGGCACTGATTTTTAGATAATCAGGGCATCGATGCCAAACATTGCCTTAGATTTCCCTCTACAAATTAAAAAGATAGTTTCCTAGAAAACTTTAAAGGATTTAAGGTCTATGGTGATTGGCACGTGTTAAGATCAAAGAGAGATGATAGGCTTTATTCTTTAGATGACCCTACTGTTTTTCCCACAAGGATGGTGATGTAGCCAGTTTAATATATTAATTATGCCACATGGAGGCGTGATGTGGCAAGTCCAATTCAGATCAGTTCCACCGGTGCTGGATTAGAGCACACGTCATCAAGTGATATTAACGGTTCAAACAATTTTATGGGTTCGCATCTGCCCCCGACGCGTGTCATGACACGTGCATTAAGCGAGACGCATGTGGAACGCATTTCATGCTGTGAAATGCACCTCCGTTAATTCCTCTTTTGCTCAAAAGCGTTTCTCTCCCATACTCTTCCATTTTACCTCGAACTGAAATTTTTGGCGTCGGACACCGTTCGTGACCCACTCACCAGAATTCCGTCAGTCGATGCCGTACTTATGTAAATTCTTCTCATTATATATATATATATATATATATATATATATATTGTTTTTTCTCATTTGTTTTTTAACATTCAAAGATCTGAACCCCTGACGCCGTTTCAAACCCTTGACACCCTCGAAATTCGAAAGCCCTCCAAAATTTTGAAACTTTCCGGAATTTGAGTTTTGACCAGAGGCGCTTGAGTAAGGTGTATAAATATAAATATGTAGAGTGTAAAATCTTATATTTTATATTATTTTATATGCATTTATATTGCATAATTTGTATCTGTACTTTTTCTGAACTCTGAGCCTTAGTTTTTCCACAAGTTTCCTGGTGTAAAACTCCTAGAGTGATATAAAGATCAATGTTGATGCACCCATCTCCCCTATCAAAGCTTCAACAGACCTAGTGGCTGTTTGGCAATGTTTTTACATGTTCCTGTTCTTGTTCTGGAAGAATTTTATTTTTTGCTCTTTAAAAACAGAAAAGCATTTGGCAATTTATTCATTGAGAATGAATTTTTGTTCTGTAGAAACAGAAATAACGTTTGGATAATAGTTATTTCTTATCCGTGCTTTGAATTAATAATTTTTCATCATTCCACTGTTTAAGGTAAATAGTAGAAGTGAAAATAAAATGGAAATAATTCGACCACTCCTAACAAATGTCATTAGTTGTGATGAATGAATGGTGTTCCTTTTTTGGAATTTGGAAATAGTAGAATATTTGTTTAAGAAAATAGTAGAATTAACGATAAAAATAAGTTGTAAACACTAGAACATCTGGTGCATATTCAAGAAGTTGGAAAGTCAACAATGGTCGTTCTGTGTTAGTTTTTAGTTTCGGTGTGCTTAGCCCTTAAGTCTTTAGTCTTTGTCAAGTGTTTTGCTCTGTTTCTTGTGGGCTTATTATTTTGCTCTGTGTGTTTTTCTTTTATATTCTACCATTTCTATTCTCAACTATCAATAGATAATTGATGGTAGATTTCTAACAAACTCACATAAAGCCAATGGCAATAATTTAAGGCAATAATTTAAGGCCTAGCTCCCACCTACTCGTGTTTTAAGTTAGCTATCGTTATCTCTATCTCTATCTCTCAGAACAAGGGTTGGGAGAACTACAGATCAAAGGACCAAAAAACAGAGCATCCACATGTCTACAATAAAGAAATGGCAAGAAGGAAGACAACCATACCTGTGTAAATGATTTTAGTCGGAAAAAAGTTGTCAAAGATGTGTTTCCGGCCATTCACCGTCCTTGACTCAGAGTTCACCTCCCTGGGTTGTGCAGCGGTACAAGTGAGGTCGAAGGAACGATAAATGAACATTATGGTTTAGAGTTTATTATTTTGAGCAGAATGACAAAAGTGCACCTACTCTCACGTTTGTGCAGAATGACAGAAGGATTTGGGATACAACTGGCCAAGAGCGGTTCAGGACGGCCACAACAGGTAGAGATATATAGATGTATGAGTTGCTTTTTCAATTTCACAATTTAGCTTGATTAAAAGCTTCCCTTTCGGTGCTGTAGTGGTGTGACGGGATTCTGGTTTCACTGTCTTCACCTTTAGTTACCTGTAGCCAAAAAACAGAGCAACTTATCCATTACGTTTTTGGATGGCCTGGCTAAACATAAATTTACAGTTGAGAAACTATTTTTCAGTCATAATGCCAGGTTTAAAGATTCCATCTGGTTAAGAAATTAGTTTGGTTCAATAACTATAACAATAGAGAAATCTGTCATGGTTCATATTTGCTTCAAACCTCCTCCTGATTGGGGTGTATCAAAATGGCAAAATAGGATCTATGTAGCCAACCACATATATTTGGTATAAGGCTTGGCTGAAGATAATGAAACATTATATGTGTAAATCATATATGTTTATGTATATAACAATAATACCTAAATGCTCAAATGGCATTAATTCTGTCATATTAAGCTTTTGTGGCTTCACTCGCATTGATTTCAGTTTCCATTTTTTCCTCCTATACATATCTTTTCTAGATTCATGTACTGAAGTTCAATGTTTGGCAGTAAGTTTTGATTACCACCACAAATGTTGGAGAAGGAAAACAAAAAATAAGAAAGAGAAGGAGAAAAAAGACCAACAAAATGAATCTATTCCCCAACCTCCCATAACCCACCATACTATTGGAGTACATCATCAATAAAGGAATTTATGGTAGGTAATTCCATAGCTCCATGTCAAGCAGAGACAACAAAAACTACCCAAACAAGAAAACTAACCATATAAATTTATCTTTTCCTCAGCATAGTTCCATGAATCAAAAGATATTTGAATATCTAACACTTGCATAAAACACAATAACCTTATAGAAAATTAATATAGCAAATCAAGCCCAATTAAAATTAGACTAAACATCTCAAGAAATACATTTAATTAGCTGTGGAGCCAAATAAAGGTCACTAAACATAGATTAGCAGCAAGGGTTTTCTTGGTTATGACATGAACTACAGAATTTGGCTTCCCCTTGGAATGTGAAAATCTTACCCCCAATAAAATGGATAAACAGCAATCCGAAAATGGTGTTTAAAGGTGAAAGGGCCATCAGAAGCTTCCTATATTCTATAGTCATAGATAAAGGAGAAGCTCCTCTTGTTAAGTGTTTAGCATAGTTAATTAACTAGATTTAGATGGCAGGAAATTTGTTCAAGGAGTAAGGTATTATGTCTAGTGTTGACAACTTCACATTAGAGCTCTTCGCTCAAGTAGAACTTGAAATTACTACATTGTGGTTGGGTGTAGAATGCCAACAAGTTGACTCATGAGAATGCTAAATTCCGCCAATAAAACTGCAGCAATCTGAGATCAAAACTCGGATCCAACTATTCAGACTGAGAAGCCTAACTTCTATGCTATTCAAACATGTCCTGGCTCCTTTGTTCCCAAATGCCATTTCTCTAACTGGACTCATCTTTGAGAAAATAAAGTCTAACTCCTTTCAATTGATGTAAAATGAAGCACATCACATCTAAGAAATTAGTAAGGGTGTAGTAGTTGTGCTTATTCCTTGACTAATGATACTTATTTTCAAACTGCTCTTTTTTATAGGCTTTCTTGTTGATTTTGTAAAAGTTCTCCATGATAAAAATCCACTCTTTAGTGTCAAATATAGAAATGGGCAAATGTTGGGTTTCATATTATTTTAGTGGCTAATTTTGAATTTATCAATATTTTCTAGTGAACGTTCCATATTCTAGGGCATACACTGGGTTGCCATAGTTTAAAGGGACAATGACCAATCAGCCCAGATTATAATTTTATAGCCCCAAAGTACTGCATTCTGACCGTGAATTGATGCCAAATTTACGAGCAGGATGTGGTTTATAGGGAGGGAGAGGGCTAATAGTAGGGGGGCTGAAATTCAGAATTCTGCATCGGGTGTATCCGTACTTCTCCGTAGTTTAAATTTATAGATACATTTCTTTTTCTTTATAGATTTTTTATTGATATCTCATTTACATTACATTCTCTAACAATTTATATGTAATGATTTGTGGGTTCAACCATTATGCCAAAGTGGATTTAATTGCATTGGAAGTTGTGCTACATTATTTGAGAATTTGAAATTATTGCAACGTCCTTGTACCTTTTACATGTCAATTGAATATTGTATTTGATTGAACAATTTGTTTTAGATATTATAACAATTAATCTTTAATTAATAGATTTTGCTCTAAATTACATTTTTTATTTAAGTTGTTTAAGTTTTAATGTATCAATTGTCATTACATTTGTATTAAAAATGTATAGGTACCAAAAAATGTTGGAATTAATCTGATATAAAAAACTAAAAACTATTGCTACGATCTAAGGTGGCAGTCATTATTGCCAAGACTGCCGGACTGGTGACCAAAAGTGCAGTCTTTTATATCAGACAGCGGTCTTGACCTAAGCCAACAGTTGCTTTGACAGCGGATTAAAGGCCGCTATCTTAGATCTAAGGTGGCAGTCTTAAGGCATAGGCCGGCGGTCAGTGAACTGCCGCCTTAAACCA